CTATACTTTATAGTCAACAAAAAGATGTTGGATGTGAACCATTTCTCCTCTCAATTTCTTTGTGTTGTTTACGATTGAAAATATAATGTTAGTATCACGTTGTACAAATTCTTAAGGCCTAGTTCGCAGAACCAGTAACTTTCATCATGGGCGGAGATAAAAAAGGTTAATTGAGATGGGAGATAAATTTTTTCTTTGCTCATATGGGCTGCCAGCGTCACAGGATCTTTTCATGTGAAGGGTCAGAGAAAGGGTACTGAAATGAAAGGAAGGAAGTGGAGGAGATTTGAAGTTTCTATAGGGCCTGGGCTTAATTAAGCCTTACCTCAAATTCTTATTCGGAAAGAACACTCGACCTTGAAAATCTCGATGATGACTCTAAAATGAATTCTAATATTGACAATAAAATTTGAAACTTAAAAATAGTACCGATCTTGTAAATCTATGAACACTTATTTTTAGGGTAAAATGGATAGTTTAGATGATTTCTTGCAATATATACCATTTTTTGAATTTGAAATCCTTTTCTTTTTCACGACTATAGTGATGAGATAATCGATTTAACTGTTTTCAACCGCTTGAATTGCAATTTTCAATGATTTATGAGGGCTCTACTTATTTTGATAGGGCTGCAGCCCTATCAAACCATTTTCCTTCTTTTCTTCCTTCTTGATTTATATATATAGACTTGGTATTACCGATTTTTTCTTTAGTCTATAAATCTGGTAATTTTACCGCACGGTCCTACCTCTTTTTTTCTTCCTCCTGTTTGTTATTTCGAACGAATCACTTGTTTTCTTTTTTCTTTTTTGACATTCATGGGGTAGTCCACTGTTTAATATATCAAACTACCCTATTTGTAGGGCGGTTCCATAACTGCAACATCAAACCGCCTAAATTTTCCTTAGCCTTCTCTATAGGGACGTCCGATGTTACAAATATCAGACCACCATTTTTCATAGTTTTCTTTTTTTTATAGTTTACCGGTCCGAGCCTTTGAACATTTGACCACTTTTGAACTACCTTTTTTTTTCTAAATATATGCAGTCCGATGTTCAAAAGTAATGGCGGTCCGATGTCTGTGACACCGGACGACCCTATTATGAAGAAGGATGGGTAAGCGGTTTTGGGCAATCCAACGTTGCAATAATTAGACTACCCTACAAATGGAGCAAGTTCAACGTTTTAGACATCTGGCTGGCCCACAAATGTAAAAAACACAAAAAAATGGTTTCAATGTTTGAATAGGGGTGGCAATGGGTCCGGACACGAGCCGAGACCCGGCAAGCAAACTTGACCCGGGTCCAGATATGGTACAAAATTTGGACCCGTTGATCAGGTTCGGGTCCAAATCTTGGACCCAAACACTATTCGGATCTGGGTTTGAGTCTATGTAGACCCGATCCAAATAGTTGTGATATTTAATACATGATATTCAAATAATATTAAATGAATATAACTATATAGTTATAGTTATAATATTTAAATAATACATATATATTTAGCATATTTATGAAATATATTTGAATATAGATATTTTGATTTATGGGTCGGGTTCAGTTAGGTCTGAATCTTGGGCCAGGTCCCGCTGGACATGACTAGTTGCCACCCCTATGTTTGAAACATAAGCGTTCAATGTTTGAAACAAACGGTGAGGAGAATTGGAAAAAAAAGAAGAAGCAAAACTAAGAGAGCAGGACCTTGTGGTCAAAGTACCGAACTCATGAACCAAAGGGTAAATTTAGCAATTTTACCCGATCTATATGTAAAATTTATCAAAGAATAATTTTACATCTTACCCATGCTTTTTTTTTTATCTAATTTTAAATTACTGATAATTCTTTGGATCAAATTTCAATGAAAAAAATTTACATAAGGTTGACATCTTATACTGTAGAATTAAGGTGCACCTCATATAACCATCGGAAAAGGCTGGTCTAATGTTGGAAAACCATCGAGTTGATCAGCACGATGCCAAAATGTATTGATATACCAAAAAAAAAAAGATTTCAAGTCTCAAAAATAGTACACGCCCCAAAAATATTACATCTTGCAACAAATTATCCGGACAGTCTACTTTCAAGATTTTCATATCTTTATAAATATGTTTGATTTAAATTATTTGTTAGAATTTAAATTTTATAATTAGAATTAAAAATAGATTCTCGACCATCTTGATATTTTTTGCCAAAATTACAACTTAAAGACAAAGTTTGTAAATGCGCCTTACTTGGTTTAAAGTTGCAACCTATACATCGAATACTTCAAAATCTTAGGTGCATTTTGAGGAATTCCCTTTCTCTCTTTCTCTCTCCTCTCTCTCTCTTTTCCCCTTCAACACACAAGTAAGCCAAGCAAAGAGTTGAAAATTCTTCAATTTATTCGTCCGTCCAAACTCTCCAAACTCCCTAACATGTTCTAGTTATTTAGAACCAAATTAAAAGTACGATTTCCATAAATGTTCTATTTATTTAGAACCAAATTAAAAGTACGATTTCCATAAGACTCTTTTTCAACTAATTAACTTTTTTTTGGTTCGATTGAAAAATTTAAGCATCCACAATAACGATTTGGTTTAAGCAAAAGGCTCTACAAAGACAAAAAAAAAAGCCGAAAAATTTAAGCATCCACAATAACGATTTGGTTTAAGCAAAAGGCTCTACAAAGACAAAAAAGAAAGCCGAAATGGATATGGATGAAAATAGTGAAAAAAGATAAGTTGATTTATAATTTAATTGATGATATGACCCTAAGACAATTAATGGAGTGAAATAGCATAACATGATTCATGTGTGGATCCAATAAGACTCAAATGTCGACGACGATGACTGAATGAAAAATTAAAGCATCGACATGAAACCTTGAAACCATTGAAAAGTATTTGATCTTATCCTTTTGCGTATTTTTTCGCTTTACAACATCTACGTTTTTGGGAACATATAAGGTGGTTTAGGAGGACCAAATTACACATTTGATCTTGCAAGGAAACACCTAGCTAGAAAATTTTCATAAGAGTCAATCTAAGAGGGGGAATTGACTAGAAACATCTTTTTAACCTCTAAATCAGTCATTTTCTTAAGTAAATTTGATATGAGAGTTTTGGGGGACCAAACATATCCCCAATCGTGGTACAGTACCATGGGGCACCAAACATGTTCCCATAAATTATATTAAATAATCTTAAATTCACATATTCAAAGGCATGCTCATCGTCACTTTTGGGGAAAAGTTTATCTAGGAATAATTTTAAAAATTATCAATGTACGATACATATTTTTCTGGATTATCTTAAGTCAATAATCCAGAAAAATAGAGAGATTGAGGAAGATATCGTCCACAAAATTAAAATTGGGTGGAAGAAGTGGAGATGTATAACTGGAATTTTCTGTGATCGCCGCATACCAATGAAGCCGGAGGGCGAGTTCTATAGGAGAACTGTTAGACCAGCTTTACTGTATGGGGCAAAGTTTTGGAAGGACAAAAAACAATATACGCATAGAATGAGTATAGCAGAGATGAAGATGTTGAGATGGATGAGTGACAAGACAAAAAATGATAGAATTTGAAATAAATACATTCGGGATAATTTAGGTGTGGCATTAATAAACAATAAGATGAAAGAGAGTAGACTTATGTTGGCTGGCCATGTGTGGTACCGACCAAGTACAATACATATTAAGAGGTACGAGTCAGTTCAAGTGGAAAGACTTGAAAAGGCAAGGAGTAGGGCTAAATGGATGCGATTGGAAGTAATTCGAAAAGATATGAGGATTTATGACCTCATTAAGGGTATCATCTTTAATAGAGTAGAATGATGGACTAGGATTCGTGTAGCCGACATCAATTAATTGGAAAAAGGCTATGATGATGATGTTGATATTGAGGAGGTATATCCTCATCATAGTCAAAGCCTTTTTCCCAATTGATTGGGTCGGCTACATAAATCCCAGTTTGCTATTATGTTTTATCAAGGTCATATTCTCAGCGAAGCCATTCTATTATATTAAAAGTCACATCTTCAGTGAGAAGGTATATTATTACTCTATTTATATATATTTAAAAAGTCATTTTATGAAAAGAAACGTATTTTGCACTCGTTTATCGCTTTATAAAGCTTTACCTTGAATTTCGCCAAAAAGAAACACAATTTTGGCATGGAAAGTGCTGCAAATCCATCGTCATCATCTTAAAATCATGGATTTTGAAAAAGAAATGGATTTTTTGAAGGAAAAATATACAATGAGACCATTTATTTTTGTTACTAGGTGGTCATAATTATTCTTCACCATTGGATGTAAAATTAAATGATTGTATTTATTCCATTGATCAAGCTCAAACTTCAAAAGAAATTTTTTTGAACTTTGTGAGATGCACATGCTATCACTTTCACATTGGATGGTTGTAAGTAATTGTGACTTCCTTATATCAAAAGTAAATGGTCTCATTGTATGCTATCCCTTTTTAAATTTAGATCTTTCAAGCGTCTTGTTTGGAACACTTTCTTTACCATTACATGTTTCAGGTTTTAAGATGCTCTTACTAAATTTCATAAAGCCATAAGTTTATCAAAAGTCCATTCCTGAGGAAAGTTTGCATGCGTTAAGCACGTGGATATCTTTTCTAACGCCCTATTCAATTTGATCATGCTTCCGCGGAAGTCCATTGTTAACTAACTCCTACATAAGATTTATAATATTTTTTTTTTTCCAATCTAAAATTTTGGAATCCACTAAACACAATCAGTTGTTTAGACTCCACTAATCCACTAATCTGATTGGAGTTATAGTTTTTGGATGGTTAGATCTTATCCTCCAAAAATTGTCATTTCAATCTTGAAAATCTTTGAGAGAATGCGAGTGGAATTTTTATATGTATTTCGAACTAAACGATTTTTAAAGCACCAAATTTTGGAAAAACAAAATTTGCTCTCTGCGGACAGAGTATGACTATTTGAAACCAAAATCGGTTGGGTGAAGCAACCATTTGGGAAGCGCTTATCTAGATCGGCAATCTGGCCGATTCTTTTAGGTGATATGATAATATATCAATAAGAAATACAAAAATAATGAAAAATAATAGAAGTGTGAGAACTAGGAAATCGAGTGGGTTTGGAAGAATCGGACCATTCCCGTAGAATTGGGATTGTTTTTTTTCAGGTCGAGTTCCGACAAGGTTGGTAATTAATTCGGGATTCCGATCCGGACGGGTGATAGTTTCTGAATCGCAATTTATGGACACATAAAAGACCGAAGGGGCACTTTCACAAAATTTGGACCAGCGCTCGTGAATTCAGATAGTAGCAGTAGTGGATGGAGCACCAGAATACTCAGTTGCAGGCTGTTGAGGTTTTCACTGTGTGAGTGCACACCCCATTAAAAAAAAGAAAATGGCGGCGAAAAAGAAACAAAGATCACAGGAATCGCTCCCTTTTATTCTCATCCATTGGTTCTCTGATGAAATTTAAGTGGAGAAAATGACCCTGTAGATCAGGTGAATGCTTCACGTGCCGGAGCTTCTCCATTTGTCCTTTACTTTACCATCCCCTCTCTCTATCTTCTCTCTCTCTCTCTGTCTCTCTCTTCATGCTGTAGTCCATATATATTTGCCTCCTGCTGCTGATCGCTGAACTCTTGTGTTTCAGTTCCATGTTCCTTTGTCCTGAAGAAACCCAAGGAAGACAGGGCTTCTTTGAATGCTTTAGACTTTAGTGTCATGGAGTAATGGTGATTACTTTGATTCCCTGATGTGGGTTTTGTTTTTCCTCTTTTTAAAAGAACTGGGTTCTATTTGATATAGATATAGAAATGTGTCTTTTCTGGGGTTTGCTTTTTCTTTTGCTGTAGCTCATGTTATCTACTGTGCACAAAGCCATGAGGAGTTTCTCGGAGAAAGGGAAGAGAATTAAGCTGATCATTCTTGTTTGCTCTTTTTTTTTTATGTTAATCCATTCTTCTATCTTGAACTAAGGAAATAAAAGGTGGTAATTGGTGGTTTTGGCTCTCTGTTTTTATGTTTTGGGATTTCATTCCGTTCTTGTTTGTTTTCTACCATGAACGCCATTGCTCTTTGGGTTCTCCTGGTTCTCTGGTTTGTGTTCTCGGGTAATGCTATGGGTCTTAACATTTCCCCGAGACCCTCTGTTGTGAATGTTGGGGCTATTTTCTCTTTCAAATCACCCATCGGAAGTGTCGAAAAAATCGCGATTAAAGCTGCTGAGAAGGATGTCAATGCCGATTCGAGTGTTCTTAATGGAACCAAACTAGTGATCACTATGCAGGATGCAGCGGGCAGCTACTTTGTGGCAATTGTTGAAGGTATTATATTCTTTATGTTCTTTCTTTCTTTAACTTATACTGGTTTGTTGAATGATTTTCTTTCTCGTTATATCAACATGGCTAGTAATGTATTTCAAACTTTTTTCTTTTTTTTGTGGGCTTGGGGGGAGGGTGGGGTGTGGCAAGGAGGAATTTGCATAACCCATTTGCAGCCGTTCTATAATTCATCTGTAGTGTACTCATATGCAACTAAGATTTTTCTTCTTGATGAAGTGCTGATGTGGGGAAGAGAAAAGTTGTAAATTTCCAAAACAACATTTATTGTCTGTAATTCTGAAGAGTTTTCAGCTCTTCACTTTATGAAACGAATGCAGATTCTTCAGTGGTTGATTTTTGGTTATTGGTTAGTTACTTTGCAACAAGGACTCTGGCTCAGACTTGCCGGGATCCCAAGGCCTAGTCAGCTACCGACTAGCCGAGTTTCTCTAAGAATATGTATTTTCTTTCTGGACCTGTTACCCTGCTAGGTCTTAGTGACTCAAGCAATTCTGAAGCCGAGTCACCCATTTATTTTAAGAACTGGTTGTAGTGATTTGGATCTGTGTTTTATAACTAATTTAAGTGGTGTTCATGGGACTTCCTAAGATAGTTAATGTGGCAGTTCTTGTTTTTTTTTTCCGCACAAATTGTCCTTGCGGATTCCACTGAGTAAAACTTTAGGATTTTAACCATGGTTAATTATGTCTATGAGATTTTGATCTGTCCCTTTTTTGAGAGAGACAGAGAGAGATCCAATCAACTGGCATTGTGTGTTTGTGTTTGTTTGTGTCATTGGTTATTTCTTAATTCAGTCATAATTCCTAATTAATTATATGAATTGGACCTTTATCTCTCAAACACCAGGTTGGCTGTTTGAATTCCATGCTCAGCTTTCACTATGGAATTTGTACATACACACTCTCACTCTGACACATATATGCAGATAGTTATATGTATATGTGTGTTTGGTTTTGCACATGATGTGTTTTGTCTACTTCTGACGTGCTAAATGAATTTCAACCTTTTGCCATTGCAGCTCTCCAGTTCATGGAGACAGATACAGTAGCCATTATTGGCCCTCAAACTTCTGTAACAGCTCATGTTATCTCACATGTCGCAAATGAACTCCAAGTGCCTCTCTTATCATTTGCAGCCAAAGACCCCACCCTCAATTCCCTTCAGTATCCATTTTTCTTTCAAACAGCACCAAACGACCAATTCGAAATGACCGCTATTGCTGACGTGGTCGACTACTTTCAATATAGAGAGGTGATTGCCATATATGTCGATGATGATAATGGGAGAAATGGAGTTTCGGCCTTGGGTGTTAAACTTGCCGAGAGGCGCTGCAAAATATCTTATAAGGCTGCTTTGCCCCCTCAAGCGACGAGATCTGAAATTTTGGACTTGTTGGTTAAAGTAGCACTTTTAGAGTCTCGGGTCTATGTTGTGCATATGAGAATTGACTTAGGTCCCCTGATTTTCTCTGTTGCTCACTACCTTGGGATGATAAGCGAGGGTTATGTTTGGATAGCTACTGATTGGCTCTCTACCATTTTAGACACTTTTTCTCCCCTGGATTCAGATACCATGGCTTCTCTCCAAGGAGTTTTAGTTATGCGCCAGCACACACCAGAGTCAGGGAAGAAAAGTGCTTTCATTTCTAGATGGAAGGAGTTAGTGAGAGAAGAGGGCCTTGGTTCTTTGGGGTTGAATTCATATGGATACTATGCTTATGATACAGTGTGGTTGATAGCTCGTGCCATTGATGCATTTTTCAAATCAGGGGGTACCATATCTTTCTCCAATGACCCGAGATTGCAAGATGCAAAGGGGAGCAATTTGCACCTGGAGGCCTTGAGCATCTTTGATGGAGGAAAACTATTGCTTAGCAAACTTTTGCAGGCGGATATGACGGGTTTAACAGGTCCTATTCGGTTTGATTCCAACCGTCATCTACCTCGTCCCGCTTATGACATTCTAAATGTAGCTGGTACTGGATATCGAAGGATTGGTTATTGGTCTAATTATTCGGGATTATCGGTTGTACCTCCTGAACAACTTTATTCTAAGCCATTGAATGAGTCAAAGTTTAACCAAAAGCTGTCCAATGTTATATGGCCTGGTGAAACCCTGTCGAAACCCCGTGGTTGGGTGTTTCCGAACAATGGAAAGTTGTTGAGGATCACAGTCCCATTTAGAGCGAGCTATCAGATGTTTGTCACTCAAGACAAAAGCACACAGATAATGAGAGGATATTGTATAGATGTGTTCGTTGCTGCAGTGAACTTATTGCCATATGCTGTGCCATATGTATTCATACCTTTTGGAGATGGAAAGACAAATCCAGATTACAACCAGCTTGTGAAGATGGTAGCTATGAATGTGAGTAGCAGAACTAGCATTAGATTGAACACCTTTCATGTTTTCTACCCTTCTTTATTGGTGAAAATTTGATGATTTGGTTTTGCATGCTTTTCTTCAGCACACTTCATTAAAAGGAAAGCTCTTGTACATAGGCCATGTTGGTCTTCTCTTAATTAATTATAGTGTCGGGTATACCAGGAGTTTGATGCAGCTGTTGGTGATATTGCCATCGTCACAAACCGCGCAAAGATTGTGGATTTTACACAACCTTACATTGAATCAGGGCTTGTTGTAGTTGCTCCTGTAAAGAGGAAAGACACAAGTGCTTGGGCTTTCCTAAGGCCATTTACCTTTCAGATGTGGTGTGTCACAGGAGCCTTCTTCGTTATTGTGGGAGCGGTTGTGTGGATCCTTGAGCATCGGATAAATGATGAATTTCGTGGACCGCCAAGAAAACAATTCATTACCATTCTATGGTGAGTATGTTAAATGAAAGACTTGCTATTGGGTCTAATATTTTTGTTAAAATTTCCTGTGATCATAAATCTGTTTGACATTGTGAAATTTATGAAGATTGGATTAAATGTCTCATATGTGAAAAGGGTATGAATTCCCTTATGTACATCCTTTTGATACACCAATGATCGAACATTTCCTCGAAAGAAGACAAATAATTCCTCAAAGAATGACCAAAATATCCTAGGACCTATATAGCACAATTATATGTGCAAATTTGTTATGCCATCACCAGTGAAGTTCAAGCACGGGGTATTTGCCATGTCTCCTAAGAAAAGATACTCCTGAATTGATTCTCTAAATCGATCTTCATGCTTATAAAACCGCATTTAAAACTGGATCCCCTTTCGTGTAATAACAGTTGTCACCGTTTTTTTATTTCTCTTGTTACCTGTTTATGATTTGCATTTGTTATCTTCATTTTGCAGGTTTAGCTTCTCAACAATGTTTTTCTCTCACAGTGAGTAATTTAATATGCCCCAAAATCCCCATATGTTCATTAAGGTGGTGGGAAAAATTTTTCAGCATGTTTCTTCGCTTATCCTGCAGGAGAGAATACATTGAGCACCCTTGGAAGATTTGTGCTACTAATTTGGCTCTTCGTCGTCCTGATAATCAACTCAAGCTACACAGCAAGCCTGACCTCAATCCTCACTGTGCAGCAACTCTCATCACCGATCAAAGGAATTGAAACTTTGCTTGCAAGTGGTGACCGTATTGGATATCAAGTGGGGTCATATGCTGCAAATTATTTAAATGAAGAGCTTGGTGTTCCTTGGTCGAGACTTGTTCCTCTTGACTCTGCACAAGCATATGCCAAAGCTCTTACCGATGGACCAAATAATGGAGGTGTTGCTGCTGTTGTAGATGAGCTTCCATATGTAGATCTGTTCCTTTCGCAGTATTGCAAATTCAAAATTGCTGGCAAGCAGTTCACCAAAAGTGGATGGGGCTTCGTAAGTTGAACAGTAACAGCTTATTTTTTGGTGGTTAATGATGCGACTTTATGATTGCTTTTACTTCAGGTTCTTCCCCTGCAGAACTTCAGGCATTTTGGACATTAAAGATGCTCCATAAATTCTGTGAGGGAAAAACGCAATGAAAAGGGCACCATACAACTGAATTGTCGAAATTTTGAAAATTTTAAGTCGATTTGGAAACTTGTATAATAGGAAAATGACTTGAGTCAGCACTTGTTGATTTTCATTTTTATTGACCCCTTTAATTTAAATCCCTTCAAATAACAAAAGAATCAAATGGTGTTAAAATTAATTTCATTATATTTTCTGTTGCCAAAACATGATTTTACTGCAATATACCTATGTATAATTGAAGTACTTGACTAGAGCAAAGATAGGAAGCAAATAAATGCTTGCAGGAAACATCCCCTGTTTTACAGTCGCCTACCCTCTGACTCAGTTGAGTCAAACACTGATCCTCTTGGACAAATTTTTGGACATACATTTCCACTATTTTTAAGATTATTTTCTAATAGTGATTGTTGTTCTTGTATTATGCAGGTTTTTCAGAGGGACTCACCTCTTGCAGTTGATATGTCAACTGCCATTCTCAAATTATCGGAATCAGGTGACCTTCAAAGAATTCACGACAAGTGGTTTGCGAGACTTGGATGCAGCTCTCAGGACACTGATATTGAGTCTAATCAGCTACGCCTCAGGAGCTTCTGGGGACTGTTTTTGATATGTGCGGTTGCCTCATTGGTTGCGCTAGCTGTGTTCCTTCTGCATATGTTGTATCAGTTCAGCCGCTATGGCCCTCCAATGAATGAACTTGCTCGACCACAAAGCTCACCATCAGGGCGTATCCAGACTTTCCTTTGGTTCATGGATGAGAGGGAAGAGTCATCAAGGGGGAGGTCGAAGAGGACTCATACAGAGGATTCTTCAATTGGCAACAGTACAAGGGAACAAGCATCACAAGGAAGGTCCAAGACGACTCATACAGGGGATACCTCAATTGGAAACAATATAAGCCAGTAAGTTGGTCTGGCATATGGTTTTTGTTCTCAGAAGTCATTTTTAATTTTTTCGGAATGGATATATGTTATGATAAAAAAAAAACGAAGAAGAAGAAGAAGAAAATATCTTTGTAATATTTTAGTAGTTGGGTTCTAGAGAAATAGACAATTGATTTCATCACATGTGAGGGATCACAGAGAGGAAAGGAGTTCGTCTCCATTTGTATCTTTATATATGAGGTTTACGTAAGTAGGCCAAAAATGAAATGAAATATATTTGGAGATGTTGTATTCATGTGAATACATATAGAAAAACTTCATTAATCACGAACACACATGCACGTTTTTATTGTATAGCCGTGTAAATTAAGACATATATGCACATTGATATTAAGATGAGCTCCCAATCAGAGGTCATGGAGTAACAAAGAAGGTTTGCAGAATTGCAAGTTTACCTCGATATACTTTGTCATTTGCAATTGGCATAAACACTCATCATGCTTTTGAAATGTGCTTAACGCTTTACATCTCACAGATGGGATATAACAAAATCATGCTTGATTTATTTTATATGACCAGGCATTGCTGCTTTCTATAAAGAACATTAGAATGACTTGCGAAGAAATGATTAAGTTTCTTT